TGCCGGCAGATGAGGTAACGGTCAGGGTCACCTTTGAGTGACGATTTCAGGGTCACAGTTGAGGGACAATTTCAGATTCATGTTCATGTTATTACCGGTTTGAGGTTGAGGTTATGTATATACTGATATCATGATCATGTTATTATTTACGATGTTTTACATTAGTATGAGTTTCTGCGGAGCACAGTGCCTTAGTGCTCACGCCCCACACCTTTCATGTTTTTCAGGTCAGGATATCGGGCCGGGAGCGTGACGTGACGGCAGCTTCAGGACATTTATGCTTTTGACTGTATAATAATGACTTACGCTTCCGCTTATGATACTTTGATGACTTTGATGATGTTTTGATGACTTTTGGCGTGCTTATTTTGACGAACTTATCTTTTGATGAACTTTTAAGAAATTTATGTTTTCTGTAGCCGGAGGATTTTATTAAAAATTAAAATAACGGTTTTCCAAATTAAGTCATGATTTTAAGGTAGCACCCCAAATCAGTTTTCGCAAAGCAAAAAAGTTTTATGTTTAAAAGACTTTGCGAATTTTTGCGCACTCTGATTATACGATGAGAGAGGTGTTACAATTGGTATCAGAGCGCACGTTTCTGCGTCTCTGAAAAGTTTTTCAGTCAAAAATTTTCAAAAATTTTCAGAAAAACCTGAACCGTCACGCTCACGCCTCGCCGACTCCAGGTAAGTACTGATTCAGTTTTTCAGTTATAAACATATTACTTTGTCTATGCTCAGAAATCAGTAAATCAGACGTAGTTAAGATGCTCAAATCAGATTCGGACTTTAGAGTTCAGTTATAACTCTAGAATTCAGGGCGTTCAGATATGACTCTAGACTTTAGTATCTTCCGATATGACTCTAGAGTTCCTCAGGATTCATGTCAGTAAAGTATCAGCCACTTTTGGCGACTCGTGAAGAAATTTGTGTGCTTTAGAAATCAGTCAGAATACCATCATGCGTTCAATAATTTTGAACTCTTTCAATATTCAGATG